CGTAAATGTTCGGCGCCACCAAGCGGCGGATAGAGAAGCTCGGCGCGCGTTTATTTGAAAATGGTGGCGGCTCGTTGCCGCGTAATTAAATGCATAGCAACGATAATTCCGCCACATCACCCCCTTTGTAGTTTCAAAATCCGCCTTGGAACCGGACTGTTTGGCGAATTTTGCGTCCACTCTTTGTAGTGTCTTGAGGTGATTTAATTTTGTTATCTTTTTCGAAAGGAAACGATTCTTTTTCTGCCAGAATATAAGCAGGCTTTAATCTATTGACAGAAATCGTTATTGCTTTTCCTTTAATTTTTAATTTGAAAGTTTTTTCGGACCGTTCCAAAATTTCATAAGGACCATCGTAAGGAAGTTGCAGTGCTTTGGTTGGAGCATCGTGTCGAACGAAAGCATGCGTAACTGTTTGTAAATCTTTATATACAAACGTCGTTGGTTGACCGTGTCGCTTTATTTTTGGCTGTAATTCGTGCATTGCTTTTCGTAATCCCTGAAGATAACTTCCTACATTTAAATCTTCGATTGGGCGTTCTTCAAGAAATTGCCCTGGCAATCGAATATTTTCACCGAAAACCAGTTCTGCGGAAGTTGCTTTTAAATCTTCTTTCCAAGCTGCTCGAATGCCCATTAAAACGACGGGGAGAATTTCAACCCAAGCTTCCGTTTGATGGCATTTAATTGCAGTCTTCATTTGACGATGAAATCTTTCAACCATTCCATTCGCAGCAGGATGATAAGCTGTTGTTCTAATGTGTTTAGCTCCAGTTAACTTTGCGAGATAGTTAAATATTTCAGATTCAAACTGACGGCCTTGATCTGTTGTTATCCGAGCTGGTACACCGTATCGTGTAATCCAGTCAGAAAATAAATGTCGCGCTACAGTTTCTGCGGAAATGTCAGAAATTGGAATAGCTTCTGGCCATCTTGTGAATCTATCAATTATTGTTAAACAATATTTGAATCCTCTTGAATGGGGTAACGGTCCTACAATGTCCATGTGAATATGCTCAAATCGTTTCGAAGGTTGTTGAAAGTTTCCAAGTGGTGCTGTGACATGTTTATTAATTTTCGCCTTTTGACATTGCACACATGCCCGAGCCCAATCCTGACAATCCTTCTGAATTTGAGGCCATACATATCTTTGTTGCACAAGTTTTGCAGAGGCCTTGATTCCAGGATGTGACAATCCGTGCAAGCTTTCAAAAACTTGTCGTCGGAATGATTTGGTCACATATGGGCGAGAAATTGGAGAATTTGTATCACAATATATCATTGCACCTGTTCCGGGTATTTGTACCTTCGTTAATTTAATTTTCTCGTCGTCATTTAAGAGAGCTTTTAATTCTGCATCTTCTTCTTGAGAATGAGCTAGTTCTTCAAAGTTTATTGTGGTATTTACAACTTCTACTCGCGAAAGTGCATCTGCTACCACATTATCTTTTCCAGAGATATGCTTAATGTCTGTTGTAAATTGCCCAATATACTCAAGATGTCGAGTTTGTCTTGGAGAACTTTTTAAAGGATCTTGATTCAAAGCATATGTTAAAGGTTTATGATCGGTATAAACTGTGAATAACCGACCTTCTAACATGTGCCTGTAATGTTTTATGGCTGTATAGATTGCCAATAACTCTCTATCATACGGGCTGTATTTAATTTGAGCTTGGCTTAATTTTTTACTCAAAAATGCTAAAGGTTGCCACTCAGTGCCATTTTTCTGTTGAAGTACTGCTCCAAGAGCAGTATCGGAAGCGTCTGTTGTTAAAGCAAGCTTCGCCTCTGGATCCGGATGTACAAGGAGAGTAGCTCGTGATAAGCTTTCCTTACATTTTGTAAATGCTTCTTCTAACTCCGGAGTCCAATTTATCGGAGTTTTTCCTTTAGTTTTAGGACCACCTAATACGTCATTTAAAATGGCCTGATCTTTTGCTGCTCCAGGAATGAAGCGTCTGTAGAAATTTATTGTGCCCAGGAATTGTCTCATTTGCTTAACTGTTCCTGGCTTTGGAAAATTTCTAATGGCTTCAACTTTATCCGGCAATGGTTGAGTTCCTTCTTCTGATACTAGATATCCTAGAAACTTGACCTGTTTTTTTCCTAAAACACATTTTGCTGGATTTAAACGAACGTTGTAGCTGTCCAATCGTTTGAATACTTCACTAAGGTGAATCTTGTGTTCTTCCTCAGATTTTGATGCTACAAGAATATCATCTATGTATGCATAGCAGAAATCCAAGCCATGTAGAACTTCGTTAATAAAACGTTGAAATGTTTGAGCTGCATTCCTTAGTCCGAACGGCATATATAAGAATTCGAACAAACCAAACGGTGTGATAATTGCCGTTTTTGGTCTATCGTCTGGATGCATAGGTATCTGATTGTAGGCCCGAACCAAATCTAACGTTGAGAAGATCTTTTTATCATGAAGCGTATGTGAAAAATCTTCTATGTGCGGAATAGGATAGCGATCTGGTACAGTCCTAGTATTTAATTTGCGGTAATCTCCACACGGTCTCCACGAACCACCTTTCTTTGGTGCTAAATGCAATGGTGACGACCATGGACTTTTCGAAGGTTGAATAATTCCTTCTTGCAATAATAAATTGAATTCTGTCTTGGCAACTTGGAGTTTATCAGGTGCCAAACGACGTGGACGACATGCCTCTGGAGGACCTTGTGTTGTTTTAATATGATGCACCGTAGAATGTGCAGTCACCTTTCCAGCAAGGCTCGGTTTCAAGATACCCGGGAATTCAGCCAGTATTTCATGGTAAGTTTCTTCTTTATTCACAGCCTTGATTGATTCTGTGAACATTTGAGCTGATGTGCCTTTGGCAACAAGACCAGTCTTACCATCTATGAGATGTTTATTTCTTACATCTGGGAGTAGATGATAATATGAAAGAAAATCAGAGCCAATTATCGGTTGTGTTACATCGGCTATAATAAACCGCCATGGAAATGTGCGGCGTAAACCAAAATTGGGCTGAAGTGCAATATATCCGTATGTGGATATCGTAGAAC